ACAGCGTCATGACTTTTTTTCTCCATCCTCCAACTCACTTGCTTTGGTTGGTCCACCGCCTTCTGAGGGTCTGTTTTCACCTTGTTGTTGGGATGATTAGTTATCTTAGTCACCGGCTGTTTGAAGATGGAAGCAGTCTGTCGAACTGGGAGTGTTGTGTTTAAATCAGGCTTGACCTGGAGAAGAGACAACATGACATAAATAAACCAAAAACAACAGCTTAATAAGCGCAGGCGTATTTGGTAGAATCGCTGTTCTATTGTTTGTTTCGTCATTAGCAACTTAATTGTGGTGAAGTTGATTAAAACCTAGATGTTGCTTTATGAGCATTACAAAAAAAAACTCTTAGTATTGTTATGCAAAGCAGGAAAACGATAGAAAAATGTAGATATTTGGAGTTATTGCACTTTTAATCCGCCTTTAGTTCCCGTGGTTGCAGTTGCGCAAAATCATGTAGGTTTATCGCCAAGCGAATGATCATCGATTACACCAAACAGGTGCTAAAAATCATCAATACTCCACACTTGTTGAGGCAGAAAAAGCTGACCATTACAACTGAATGAGGAACAGAAAAAAAAAAAAAAACTCTGCTGCCAAGCAGGTCAATTACCATGGCAACAAGATCAAACTCAAGGTCGTCACAGTATCTCACAAAAGTGAGAACACCCGTCACATTTTTGTAAATGTTTTACTATTATATATTTTCCATTGGACAACATGGAGGTTACGACACTTTGACAAAATGTAAAGCAGACGACATGCAGCTTGTATTACTGTGTAAATTTGTCGTTCCCTCACAATAACTGAACACATACCCAAATAATGTCTAATCAGCTGGGAACAAAAGTGAGCATGCAAGCTATTTTTTCTAATATCATGTGACTTGGTAGTGTTACAAGGTCTCAGGCGCATTAAATTTGGTGGCATCGCTCTCGGAGAAAAGATTTTAAAGCAGACCAAAATCTCAAGATGCGTTATTCCAAGCTTCACAATCACAAAGAAGCTGGAAGCCTTGAAGATGGATTTCCAAGGAAAACTAGAGCAGCAGACAAAAACACATAAAGTACGTTTCCCTCAGGAATCAGAAGATATCCCTCAGAGCTGGTAGAAAGCAGCACCAACTGTCCAGAGAAGTCAGTCAGACCAGGACTGATCTTACTGGAAGGCTCGTATCCTGGAAGCCATCACACCAAAATGAAACGAAGCTAAGGGACTCAAATTTGTGCAAAAATGACAGCGACTCTGGACTGACGAGTCAAAAAATGGGAAATATTTTGCTGAAAGCAGAAGGCATATTGTTATCGGGAAGGCTGGAAAGTTGAACAATAATGTGTTTCTGCAGGCTGTGAACGGAAAGAAATGTTCTTTACAAGCTTGGCGTTGCTTTTCTGCATTTAATGGAAGATTACATGAGACAGAACGCTACAAGGATGAAGATCCGATTAGTTCTGCAAGATCTTTGGAACAACAGAGGGTAGACACAACAAGAAAGGATAGATTTCCCTTTGCTTTGTTCACAGTGTTTTTTTGTGTGTTTTTTTTCTTTCGTTTTTACAACTTTGGCACAGAACTCTGAAAAGTGTGAGACGTTTTAAAAGTACCTTTTATCAGTGACTAATGTAATAACGCAACACATAACCGGAGAAGGCCCTACTAGATACACACAGGATTTAAAATTTAAAATCATAAACCCCTTCTTTTTGCTACTTGATGTACACTTAAACAACATGCAAAGTCTAAACATGTAAAGGCTATCAAGCTTTGTATGAACAAAAGCATTAAAGTTTTCAATAAAAGGGGAAAATCCCTGTTGAAAATTGACCAAAAAAAAATTATCTTGATAACTTATTTAATGTTAGTTTCTGGAAGGTTGTTGTCTTCATATCCTGCACAGTCTGCTGTTGATCTCACCTTGAGCTGATGGTTTACGTCGTAGAGATTCTTGTGCCTGCTTCTCTGCACTTTGGTCTGCAGCGATCGTCCGGCCCGCGGCTGGCCGGTGTTCACATCGGTGCGAAGGTCACTGCGGAAAATCTGTGGCTTATTGAGAATACGCTTAACGGGTAGGCTGAAAAAGTAAAAGAGAGAAAACGAAAAAGAAATATGATGAAGTGTTCTTTCAAATTGTGCATGAATGCAACATGAAATGGAACATTTAAGTAGGTTTACTAAAGTGGTGATTTACCAATATCACTTGGCTATAAATACTCTATAATGCAAAGAATGTTTTTTTTTTTTTTTTTTTTTTTTTTACATTTTCTGCACCCCAGGCTTGTATTACTCAGCTGCCTGTGGACGTCCACCTCCAATAGATGGAATGACAAACATCAAGCACATTTGTGTCTTATTTCTATTGATTTTTGGAGGTAAGGGCCGGCGAGTAAAAGGTCTGTGTAGATTAGAGATGCACCAGTCAGATGTTTACAGGCTGATGCAGATTTCCAGAGATCTGGAAATCATATCAGGTTCGGCTACAGTTTTTTGTCTAAGGACTATTAGACATAAACCTAATTCCCGGCAACTTTATTTTACGTCTACAATTAAAACAAAAAGTTGGCCATAAAAGAAATGGATGCTGGTGGCCTCTTTACATAGGTGGTAGAAACTACCCAATTATTCCTATGAATGCATAAAAGCACATGTCTATCATCTACCAGATTTTACAAAACTCAAAACAAACCTCAACAACAAACATGCACATTGTTAGTATGTTGATAGACTGAAAAAAATAGGATTTTTTCCCCCCATTTTGATGCATTCACAGAGCCGGAATCAAATCAGACATTTCGGTTGTTGACGTGATGATCAACGATCAGAGAATTTGAAAAAAATATTGTCTGATTTTGATAATAGGCAAGTTGATAAGGGTGGAGCATTCCCCATTGTACTAAAGAAAAGACCTGATGGGATTTTTATGAGCTGCAAGAGAAGTGGATTAGAAAAAAAAAAACTAACTACCTAGTAGTGTAATCTTAAAAGCTTAAAAATGAAATGCACATCTAAATTCCAAAAAGTAATCTGTAAAAACGTAAATTTTGTATCAACATTTTAAAAGATACAAAAAAATATTCGGCATTTGAACCGTTCGACTGTTATCAAGAAAGGCATAACAGCAAAAAGTGGTCAATAAGAGGGTAAGAACTATCACCACATCAAACCTTTTTTCTATATTACAAAATACAGTAAATGAGAGTTATTACTGAATTAAAAACTATTGTAAACCAACAAATAAGTCAGTTGCATAGATGGGGCCCCAACATCCTTCCTCTTTCACGTGTGGCTCAACACAGAGGTGACTGGATAGACTGGTAAACGACAAGCCAGGAAGTTACAACAACCAAAAGTATTTTTTTTATCCTTATTGTCACTAATAATAATAATGAAGAAGAAGAAGAAGAAGAAGGCTTCTGAATAATTTTACTCAACTACAAATAACATATTTAAAAAACAACAACCAATTAGTTCATAACTAACGGAAAAATACACTTAAAGAAAAAAAAACTTAGCCACATATAGACACACCGTAAACAATTAATGCCAACCTGTGCACTATTCCTCCCATTCCTTTTTATTTTTTGTAAATGAAAAGTTGCAGTGTGTCTTTGCCAGGAGGAAGTCGTCATAAGGTCGCAGAGAGGAGGGGGTCGCTGAATGAAGTGCAACACCGGGCCCTGCACCCTCGCGACTCAAGCGTGTGTAAACAATGAAACTTAGCTAGCTAATCAAGCTAGCGCTCAGCGGAACAACAACGACCCACACAACGTACCTACCGCTTCCAGTCACACTAAACCATAAATTCAACGGACCCATAAAATACCAATTTGTTTAAGACGGTGACAGAGAATATACATAACTCCGACATGTCCACATGCTAATGAGTGTTTAACTACACAACGAACGCGTGCCTGCACATCTTGTTTAGAACAACTCAACTAGCACGCAGTTCAACGTCTCACCTTTTTCTCTCCATGGTCCCGTTTTGTATCGCTGCGTTAACTGGATATTCTGCGAAGAAAGAGGGGAGAAAAAGTCCGCTATCTACCTGTCCTAAATTTACAGTGTTTAGCTGTCGAATCCTGCTGTCAGGACTTTTTAACGCCTGCAGATCACTCCGCCTGCTGGACGCGCAACATAATCTACTGTAATGCATGCGCCACACAACACTGTAAACTAGTCCGACTCTGACTCTCCATCTCTGCTGCTCTAAACGTTCTCGCTTACACAATCAGAAAGCAGGAGCAGCTCCCACCTACAGGCGACTTTTTTTATTTATTACATAGAGACTGCTTTCATACGTTTCTAGTTTTAAAGTTAGTTGCAATAAAACGCCTTTTATTGCACTTGGGAAAAAAATAATAGTACACATTGGACTACTACACACATATTGAAATAATAGAATAAGAATACAGCTTTGGATATAGGAACTATTTTTTTGCTCACCCTAAAAACTGTTTTAAATGATATCGATCTTAATTTATAAACCTAATTATCCACATACATCATATGAGTTGATTTTAGGGCTTATGTTGACCTTTAACTTAAGTTTGTGATAATTTTCTATAGTGAAATATAAATATATAAAGTAGCTCAACCAAATTTACTCCCCATAAGAATAATCATCTTTCACATACAACTCAGCTGATCCTTATTTCGTGGTCTCTTAAAGCAAGTATAAAGAGAGCTTTTTTTCATAAAGGCACATTCCAGCCAATCAAAGATCTAATTCAGTCAACAGTCTATACCACAAATTCCTCGAGGAACTGAATTTAGTATGTAAAAAAACACTTCACTCCTGTTTTTAGAAGTTTTCAATTGTTTGGTAAATGCTCATTAAAAAATACACACAAACACAAGTTAAAATACATACTTTACTTCTTTTTGAAGCAAAATCAAAAATCTATTTTGATCCACATAACAAAGTGATTTAAAGAGAAAAAAAAACATCCTCAGACTGAGCAGGAAGAGAGGAAGCAGCAGAGATGACATTGGTTTTCTTTTTCATTCGTTCTTTTGTTTTACAGTGGCAAAAAAAAAAAACCCAACAAAGACGTCAAACGCCTGGACGATTCCACTTAAAGTTGATGAAAGCAGTTCGGTGTTGACTGAGGTGTTAGTGATGGGCTCTGCAGTGGGGGCCACAGTCCGATGTACAGGCTGCAGCGGCTCATGCTTGTTCTGAACGTCTCAGCATCAGTAACAAGCAAGTAACCGAAACCAACCTGGGAAAAGAAAATGACAAATTGAGATTTTTTTCATTCAAATCAACAAGATTCAAGCACTTTCCATCAGCCTCATGAATGGAGGTGTAAGACCAAAAGTAAAATCACACACACATGTATTGATGTAAGGGGTTAATTACTTCATAGTAGACATTTTTATTTTTATTTTTTTTTTGCAGGGTTCAACATCATCCTGACATTTAAGCAGAGTTATTGATTGTCTCAGACTTTTGTTTCGTCCTACCATGACCAAACGTAGAGACTTGTTGCTGTCCAGGGACGGAGTTGTTCTGCGTTTGTCTAAATATATAAACTTTTATCAGCAAATTCCTCACCTCCAGTCCTGGGAATCCTCCTATAATTACCCAACCATCATAACTGAGTTCTGTCTGAAAAATGTTCTTACCTCTTTATTTTATTTTTTTTACTTTTCCCCTCAGAAAAAAAAAAGTTTAGCCATTCTAATAATCGAAAACAGTTACTGAGCAGTCAGAAAGCAGCTTCGTTTTATGCAGCCCAGAAGACGTAGTAAAAAAGCTAAAAAGTGTTATTATTGCAATTTAAGTGTGCGTGGTGAACCTAAATACATATAATCACACTAAGGCAACGCAATCTCAGAAAAACATGACTTTGGGATAAGACATTTGTACAGTGTAATAAGAATATCAACTCCAATCGCCACATTTTCAACACTGTGTGTTTTCCATCATCATAAAATCACTCTTTGAGCCTTAGCATCTTGGTAAGTAAGGCTTTGCTCACACTGCTGGAGAAACTGTTTTTTGTTGTTGTTGTTCTTGCTGCTCTTACCGTCATGTCACATTTCACATTCAGTTTTTACATGAAGTATTCTAAACTGAAATTTACTTTTGTGAACACGGCACGCAATAAACTGTTAAATATAAAATGCTAAATCTACAACAACAACAACAACAAAAAGGATTAAGCATTTCCCTGTGAACACAGCCTCTGATTATTATCAAGAGTGTACCCAACTGTTCAAATAAATCAACCTGATAAATATTGCACTCAATACATCTATTGTGAATGTGCCATGACAAGATGAAAGTGCAAATTAGACTAAATGTATTTTACAGATGTAAAATGTACCCATGAAAATGATCCGGACATAAAAAATAAAAAAAAAGTTTTTAAAAACATATGCACATTTTCTTACTGTATAATAATAAAGATAATGTATGTAATAATAATAATAATAATAATAATAATAATAATAATAATAATAATGACTTAGGCATAATATAATTTAAGAAAACATATGAAACACCAAAAACAACAAACAAACAAAAAGAAATTGAATCATCATCATCATCTTGCTAGCAAGCAGAAAACAACAGTCTTCTTTGACGGTCAAAGCGATACCTTTGCCTGACGAGACTGCCCCTACTCGTCCTTCTTGAATTTGCCGTTGATGTAGGGAACATAATCCAGAATCACACGCCAGTCTGTGAAGTAGACCAAGGCCACGCCTCCAGTTGTTCCCCAGAAGGTCATAGTGGGGACCCTGGAGAGAGGAAGCAAATCACTCTGAGACACACAAGAGAGCCAAAAACCAATCTGAGTTTAAGGAAACCACATATTAAGGAAAAAAAAACAGCTAAACAGATGAAAACAAGCATAAAGAATCATGTCAGTCAAGCCTTACATCAAACATTGTACAGTAAATAAACACAGAATAGAAATAAGGTAGTCTCATTTCCAGAGGGAAGAGCAGTAGGAAGAAATGGAGGTTAATTGAAAGATAATAAACGAATCCACGTCTCCCCGGGGGAAGCTAGGCAGCTTGTGGGGAAAGCTTTAGCCAGGCTAGTGTCCAGCTTATAGTGATGGGAATGCAGCACAAATTTTATCACAAAGTTACTACACATTTGTCATTTCAAAACACCAGATACATTTTTTTTCCTGATTTTTCACTCAAGTTATCACACGTTTGAAATAAGCAAACACAAGAGATTATTTTAAAATTATGGCATATAGTTCTACATGGGTCAGGTTTCTAATAACTTTCAAAATGATTTTTTTGATTCAAATATTTGTCTTGAAGACAATGGAACAAGGAAAATGGTGAAATCATATTCGACATTTTCATATATCCATTTTCTTCTTCCATACTTACACAGACCTGGAAACTGCTTAAAGAATCTAATTAAATTGATTTCCAAACCTGTCAAGATTGTGTAGGAACTCAGTTACTATGATCCCAGAAAATTATGACTGGTTTACTCAACTTATTAAAAATGAATGGGCAAAACTATCATGTAAAACATTCGTAGTAGTTCCTTTTCCAGTTCAGATGCTTGTACATATTAACATTTTAAGGATATTTTCTTTCCAATCTCATATGTAAAAGATTGGCATATTGTAAAAAATGCTTCTAAATAATTTACCAGAATATCTTGATTCCTGTTTTTATTTTAAGTATTTGACAAATAAAGCCAGTTAGCTAGTTGCTCACCTTAAAATAACACTTAATTACACTGTACAATATTCCCAATGCTATATCGTAATCGGGAAAAATAACAAACAAACAAACAAAAAAAAAATAGAGGATAATGCCTTAATGTAACATATATGCAATTTCACGGGTTTTTGACCCAGAATCGAGCTAATAGCCTGAATTCATACATATGCCCCCATTGCTATGACCTCGGCTAGGCTAACGGCTAATTTTAGGCAGGACTAAGCAACAACTCCAAGCTCCAAATGTCAAATGTATTCAATTATTTACCCACAAAAACAATATGAAAGCACATACCACGACTTGGCGATGGCCATATACTTCTGACCGATCAATTTACCAATCATTTTAGCTGACAGATGCCCTTCTACCTACAGGACGCGCTGCTTTAAATGGTGAGAAGAACTTCCGCTACGACACACGTTAATTACTTCCGCTTATTTACAAAATAAAAGTTGTGGATTGTAGTGACAAAATAAAAACAATCTCCTGTTACATCCCTCCCAAACGTCTATGTTTTCTTAGTAGACTTCCAGAATATGTTATTACTTTAAGTATTTAAATTATTATTTTTATTGACCCTGAATGACAACAATAATAATGTGTCTCAGTTTGTTTTCATTTGCTACTTTTCCTTTGTAGAATATTATCTGTATTTGTACTGATGTCAGTTTTTTTTGTAACTACCACTTCTTCTTGTAGATTTACATATGATAAAAATTAAAATGGACTACCAATGAAAGCATTAAAGAACATTTTTACTGGCTCTTAGACCCGATACGTTAGCGGCAGGCCATGTTGTGAGTGGCAAGGTTGCCGCATAAAGCAAGCAACACAAGAAGGGCTCTATTTTATTTTATTTTTTCATGTTACAGAAGCAGTAATAATTACGTCCTATTCATTTTAATTATCACTTAAACAAAAATGGACATCTTTATCTTCAACATTTTTAGCAAACACCAGAACATTTGGTTCCTTAAGACTACAACAAATTCACCAACTACACTTTACTAGTAATCTTGCTGAACACAGTGGCTTTATAAACCCGCACATGTGGAAAAAAGGAAAAATCACAGTAGGTAGCTTTTTTCTTCCAGGTTGACCAGATTCATATTTATTTATTTTCCATTTTAACTGTGCAGAATAAAAATCACATTATACGTGGGAAAAGTTTTAAAAAGACTTTTCATTCATAGTTGTACTTTTTACATAACAAAAGTCTATGTGAAAGTTTTTGAGTGAGTGAATGAATATGAATATGTAAATATAGAGGAGGATCTACACTTTCTACAGAATTCAATTCAGTTTAATTGTCAGGACTAAAAAAAACAACAAACTGAACAGTTTGAAATGAGGTTTATGTAAATCAAAAAATATCCTGTTCCTCTGGGTAAAAATGAATTTCTTCTTAGAATTTAAAGGTCTGAATAACAACAGAGAGAACAATGTTATTAAAAATGGCACATTTATTGCTACATCACTGTTATATACACAACAGTTCTCAATATCTACTTTATATATAAAAAATAGGAAACTGGAGGCACTTTGAGGACATAGCCTACGTAGATAATGTCCCCAAACATGAGAAGACAGAAATCTGTGGCAGGTCATTGTTCACTGAGGACAGACAGGGTCTGTTAACAAACATATCAATTGTACATTTTGAGACAAAGTTACTGCAGAAATATCCACTGACAAAAGAAAATCTTTAAAAGTGGCTTTCCAAATTATACAAAGTCTTTTTTTTTTTCCCTTGGGAAATGTTTGAGTAAACGAGGCTCGTCCACAGGGCGGGATGAGTGACAATATGACAAATACTGTTCCCTATCAGTGTCGGCTTCCAGTGATAAAGTTGACATGGGTACGTCTTGCAGCTGTACATAAATATCACATGCCAGTTCTAAGGCAAACATCTTAGCAACACGAGAACGTGAAAAAGGAGAGATTTCGATACAATTTTCAGCTTCAAAGTCGTAGATCAGGTAACGTCTCATTACATGCCAAAGTCAGCGTCAAGTGTAATACCTCACATGACAGATGTTACTAAAGTATTCATTTTTATTGCAAGAAGATACAAGTTATAAAACCTTGAAAGTAACATCATCCACTGTGACGCAATGAGGCACTGGTGAGTAACCATTATCCAAGCTCCTGAAGTCAGGAAAATGGCTAAGGCCACCTTTTTTTTTTTCTTTTTTTTATCTATTTGAGGATTTCTTACTATAATGAAACTGCATTTTGTTGCAGCCCCCCTACCACTGCATCACATTAATCAACAAGCTCATTGCAAAGCTGGATATTAGGGAAGAGGGAGGTGTGCAAAAAAGAAAGAAATCAGTCATTTCTTGTTCAAAAGGAAAAATTAAAAAAATAAAAAAAAACTTTTGCAAATTACACCTCGCCAACAAGGTTTGGTGATTTCAAACAAGTGTATACTTAAAAAAAAAAATGGACCAATATCACAACATGTGATGTCACAGCGGGATAATTTGTCTTCTCCAAGCACCTGGCACCAAAGATAAAAAAAAACCTCACTTTGTTCATGGAATCTAAACTTTAGTTGTCTTACATTAAAACAACGTAAACAAAAAGGAAAAGCATTCCGGACAAAACAACTATATTACAACGTAAAAAATAAAATACAAAAACAAAGACATAGTATATGAACTCTACAACAGGAAGATCCTTATAACAGGCCTCACAATTGTTCAATAAGGGGGCGGGAGGGGTTGTGTTGAGAACATCCGACGCCCAACACGAGAGCAACCAAAAAAACATGTCAGTCAACGGCAAAAGAGGAAATTGTCTTAAAGGCAGCAGTAACACTCATGATCCCTTTCAATACTTAGCAAATTGTCTACAAGCAAAATGTTATTAATCACAACACAAACTGCTCCGAGACGTAAAAGAGCTCACCGTGTCGTAACAGTGACCTCGTGTAGGTGATGATGCGGCTGGCTTTAACGTGGCGAAGGTCGCTTGGGACCGACGGCTAAACCGAACCTACATCGACCTAAGCGTGTGTGTGTTTGTGTCTGTGGTGGGGGCCTCTCTCTGGCAGTCTTTCCATTCCACTTGCATGGCAGTGACTAACAGATGTACACGACTTAAAGAGATTAGAGACTCTGGGCTCCGCAGTTCTGGGCCAAGAAAACAAAAGTAACCCAAAGTCCAAGTGCGCAGTCAGCGACTCTGGCAACCTTCTCAGCCACTGAAATAAAGTTAAGAAAAAGAGCCTGAAACAGCAACAGGATAAAGAAGCCAGTTTTTTTTTCTCAGACAGATCAGGCACAATGCCCTGGAAAAGTATTTAGTCCCCTTGAACTTGTTCCCCGTTTTGTCACTCAGCAATCACAAACTTCAGGGTATTGTTTTTGGATTTTTATAGAATAGCAATGATAGTAGTGCAAATAGTCGATTTACAAAGGAAAATAGCAAAGCAGTCAGCCTCCACATGTAGGTCGGTATCGTCACTGGAAGTTACTTTTCACTGGTCTAACATGTATAGAGTCATATTTAATAAATTAAATAGTGTGTTGCGATAAGGTTCATTTGTCAGATTATGAAAATTCATTAAGTCCACATTTCTGTGTTATTGCTTTTATTGCTCTGATGTAATATTCTGATCTAAAATGTCATGTTTTCATTAGCTATAAGTGGAAAATCACCATAATTAACATAAATAAAGGCTATAAATATATGAGTCTGTATCTATTGTGGGTTACTGAATAACTTGGGAAAAAAAGAAATCTAATAAATGTATTGAAAGGGTCCATACATTACCAGCTGTAATATATCATAAAATATTGGTTTCAAAAGTGTAATGTGGACAACTGAGATTTGAAATACTGTATTTCTTTTTTTTGTTGAATTTGTAGTAATATGATTGACTTTCCTTCATTTTTTTTTACTTTGTTATTCAAATCTGGCACATATTTTTATTTATTTTTCCTGTATGGTTATTAAATAATTTCCCAACTTAAATCACATTTAAAATTAGTATTAAAGTACTCAGTACCTAAGTAGCCTTTTTTTTTTTTTTTACCAAATTACCAAATTTGGTTGACTACTTTTCACTTCAACTTAAATAAAAAAAAATATTGAAGTCATGCTTGGGAACAATATTTGGCAACTCTACCCAACTCTGGATATTTCTTGGAAAAAAAAATTCCAATTTCCTTTCGTCTCACGTAAAATCTCCACAAAATACAGTGAACGATGTGGTTCCAAAGTGACAAAATGTGAAGAAGTTCACAGGGTTTGAATGCTTCTGCAAGGCAGAGTATCTCCATTTTTTCTGTAGTTCAGCCATCGTGACCAAACACTGCACATGAGGTGTGAGAAAGGCGGGATGAAACAGACTTTTGTTCAATCGTCAGATGTATAAGTCACCCCTCTCAACTTGTGAAGAATGTAAGACCTCTTTTTGACGGGAATACCAATAACTACTCAACAAGAAAAAGCTCAACTTCACTCAGAGCAATTGATCCAAGTGTTTTTTGATCCAAACAGGTTTTGCTCCCAATGTGTAAAGCAATTTTTGACAACGTCCTGCAAAAAAACACAAAGCCCAAACATTATCATAAGAGCATTTCTTTTTTGTCCATTATCCACCGTCTCCGAAAGCAGTGTGTTCAGTTCCAAGCACTGTCACGTAAAAGTCAATAAAGTTGTATTCTTTTACTGTATCCCGTGTGCTTCTTGTAATTGTTCTCATCGTCAGGAATGTGGCCACCTATTATTTTGTCAGTAATGAGGTGTTTGCATGATTATCACACACTGAGATGGACGACAATGATCGATAAGGCCACGTGTTTGTTCGTAGGGCTGGACAATCAACAGGAACTGGAAGAGAAAGGAGGGAAGACGGTTAACATTCAAAGAAAAACACAGCAATAAGTAGGGATGATAATTCTCTCAAATAACCACGAATCCCACTGCAAGTAGGCTTAGCTCAATTTCAAGTTTTAAAATTTTACCCAATCACTGTGACGTATTTAATGGACCAGTTAGTGCAATATTTGGAGAATCCGAGAGAATCTGGGAGGAAAGACCAGACTTTGCTATTTGTTTTCGAGCGGAGCTCCACAGGGAGGCAATGGCCAGGCTAATTCAGAGCAGTAATTAAGCCAAAACTTTACAAAAAATTTAAGATCAAAACATCTTTGTCTTTAAATATGTTCAACCCACAACTCCAAAAGCGGAATAGTTTTAGCTTCACCTAATTCAAATTCACGAGAGGAATTTTTGTTAACGTTTATTTTTTTATTTAAAAATTTAATTGAATTGTTCATTTATGACTCTTAATGTATTTCCGATAGTGTATAAAAGAGGCTTAATTGTTTACACTAGTTATCAAGTAATTGTCAGAATAATCGATAGACTAACTGATTACTAAAATAGTTGTTTGTTGCAGCTCTATGAC